CAGGCACACACACACGGGGCACACACACACACACACGGGGCATACACACACACACACGGGGCACACACACACACACGGGGCACACATACACACACGGGGCATACACACACACACGGGGCACACACACACACACGGGGCATACACACACACACGGGGCACACACACACACACGGGGCACACACACACACGGGGCATACACACACACACGGGGCATACACACACACACGGGGCACACATACACACACGGGGCACGCACACACACACACACGGGGCACACACACACGGGGCACACACACACACACACACGGGGCATACACACACACACACGGGGCATACGCACACACACGGGGCATACACACACACACGGGGCGCATACACACACACACGGGGCACACACACACACATACACGGGGCACACACACACATACACGGGGCACACACACACACGGGGCACACACACACACACGGGGCATACACACACACGGGGCACGCACACACACACACACGGGGCATACACACACACACGGGGCATACGCACACACACGGGGCATACACACACACGGGGCACACACACACACGGGGCACACACACACATACACGGGGTACACACACACATACACGGGGCACACACACACACACGGGGCACACACACACGGGGCACACACACACACACGGGGCACACACACACACACGGGGCACACACACACGGGGCACACACACACATACACGGGGCACACACACACACACACGGGGCACACACACACACACGGGGCACACACACACACACACGGGGCACACACACACAAACACACGGGGCACACAACACACACACGGGGCACACACACACGGGGCACACACACACACACACGGGGCACACACACACACACACGGGGCACACACACACACACACGGGGCACACACACACACACACGGGGCACACACACACACACACGGGGCACACACACACACACACGGGGCACACACACACACACACGGGGCACACACACACACACACGGGGCACACACACACACACACGGGGCACACACACACACACACACGGGGCACACACACACACGGGCATACACACACACACACGGGGCATACACACACACACACGGGGCACACACACACGGGGCACACACACACATACGGGGCACACACACACACACGGGGCATACACACACACACGGGGCACACACACACACACGGGGCACACACACATACACGGGGCACACACACACATACACGGGGCACACACACACACACGGGGCACACACACACACACACGGGGCACACACACACATACACGGGGCACACACACACACACGGGGCACAAACACACGGGGCACACACACACACACGGGGCACACACACACACACGGGGCACACACACACACACGGGGCACACACACACACACGGGGCACACACACACACACGGGGCACACACACACATACACGGGGCACACACACACGGGGCACACACACACACACGGGGCACACACACACACGGGGCACACACACACACACACGGGGCACACACACACACACGGGGCACACACACACACACACGGGGCACACACACACACACGGGGCACACACACACACACGGGGCACACACACACACATACACGGGGCATACACACACACACGGGGCATACACACACACACGGGGCATACACACACGGGGCACACACACACACGGGGCATACACACACACACACACGGGGCATACACCCACGGGGCACACACACACACACACGGGGCATACACACACACATACACGGGGCATACACACACACACGGGGCACACACACACACACGGGGCATACACACACACACGGGGCACACACACACACACACGGGGCATACACACACACACACGGGGCACACACACATACACGGGGCATACACACACACGGGCACACACACACGGGGCACACACACACACACACGGGGCACACACACACACACACGGGGCACACACACACACACGGGGCACACACACACACACACGGGGCACACACACACACGGGGCATACACACACACACGGGGCATACACACACACACACACACGGGGCATACACACACGGGGCATACACACACACACACGGGGCATACACACACGGGGCATACACACACGGGGCATACACACACGGGGCATACACACACACATACACGGGGCATACACACACACACGGGGCACACACACACACACGGGGCATACACACACACACGGGGCACACACACACACACACGGGGCATACACACACACACACGGGGCACACACACACACACGGGGCATACACACACACACACCGGGCATACACACACGGGGCATACACACACACACACGGGGCATACACACACGGGGCATACACACACGGGGCATACACACACGGGGCACACACACACATACACGGGGCATACACACACACACGGGGCATACACACACACGGGGCATACACACACGGGGCACACACACACGGGGCATACACACACACACACGGGGCACACACACACATACACGGGGCATACACACACACATACACGGGGCATACACACACACACACGGGGCATACACACACACACACGGGGCATACACACACACACACGGGGCACACACACACGGGGCATACACACACGGGGCACACACACACATACACGGGGCATACACACACACACACGGGGCACACACACACACATACACGGGGCACGCACACACGGGGCATACACACACACACACACACGGGGCATACACACACACACGGGGCACACACACACGGGGCATACACACATACACACGTACACACGGGGCATACACACACACACACGGGGCATACACACACGGGGCATACACACATACACGGGGCACGCACACACGGGGCATACACACACACACACACGGGGCATACACACACACGGGGCATACACACACACACGGGGCACACACACACACACGGGGCACACACACACATACAGGGCATACACACACACACAGGGCACACACACACACGGGGCACACACACACATACAGGGCATACACACACACACAGGGCACACACACACACACACGGGGCACACACACACACACAGGGCACACACACACACACACGGGGCACACACACACACACGGGGCACACACACACACAGGGCACACACACACACACACGGGGCACACACACACGGGGCACACACACACACACACACGGGGCACACACACATACACGGGGCACACACACACACACGGGGCACACACACACACACGGGGCACACACACACACGGGGCACACACACACACACGGGGCACACACACATACACGGGGCACACACACACACACGGGGCACACACACGGGGCACACACACACACGGGGCACACACACACACACACGGGGCACACACACACACACACGGGGCACACACACATACACGGGGCACACACACACACACACGGGGCACACACACACACACGGGGCACACACACATACACGGGGCACACACACACACACGGGGCACACACACACGGGGCACACACACATACACACGGGGCACACACACACACACACGGGGCACACACACACACGGGGCACACACACACACACACGGGGCACACACACACATACACGGGGCACACACACACACACGGGGCACACACACACACACGGGGCACACACACATACACGGGGCACACACACACACACGGGGCACACACACACACGGGGCACACCACACACACACGGGCACACACACACGGGGCACACACACACACACGGGGCACACACACACACACGGGGCACACACACACACACGGGGCACACACACACACACACGGGGCACACACACATACACGGGGCACACACACACACACACGGGGCACACACACACACACGGGGCACACACACATACACGGGGCACACACACACACACACGGGGCACACACACACACACGGGGCACACACACATACACGGGGCACACACAGGGCACAAAAACACACACAAAGACACACACACACCCCAACGATCCCCCCGTATAGCCCGTAACAGACTGTTGGGGCAAGTGTTGTTAGTGAACAGCACCTATGAAGGCCGGGCACGGCACACGAGGGGGTGGGTGGTCAGCACTACACCCAGCTTCCTTTGTCTCCCCAGCGGTGATGTTTATACACCGCATCAGGTACTTATTTGAGGCTGAGTCGACCTGGGGGAGGCCAAGGTCCCATTCAGATAATCGTCACGGGTGTTAGCCGTGAGCAGGAATCGAACTCGGGTTGCCAGGTTCGTAGGGCAGCGCGCTCACAGTTGCACGACTGCTCCCCCACACACACACACATGCGCACAAAGACAGCTTTCCCCCCCGTATAGCCTGTAACACTGTAGAAGCAGGTGCTGCTTGCGAGTTTCACTTATGAAGGCCGGTATGGCACACGAGTGGGTGTTGGCCAAAACCACGCCCGGCCGTCTTTGTCTCCCCAGTGGGGATGTTTACAGACCGTGAACAGGAATCGAACTCGGGTCGCTGCTTTCGTAGAGCAGCGCGCTAGCCGCTACACTACCACTCCCCACACTGAAACTTTCACACACACACACGTCCGCTCGCGCACACGCACACGCACGTATGCACGCAAACACTCCCAGTGCGAGGCCGACTCACTGCATCTCGCTGAGCATCGCTCCTCTGAACAAAATAATTCCGCGGTTTTTACGAGTTTGTGTTTTAAGTCAATGTTACATTTTTTTCCTTCATGGAAGATGGTTCGTAAGTACGGGTGTTCATAAGTCAGGCGTTCGGAAGTCGAGGACTGCCATTGTATACAATTCGCATCCGCGTTATAAAAAAATCCGTTGCAGTACATTTATCACGTTATATCCTATTCGCGTGATGGAAACGCGCGTTGTAGGAGAACAGACTGTACCGTACCGGCTCAGCTTGTTGACGGTGAATTGCACATCGGAAGGATCTAATACAGTGTCCGACGTGGGCTTGGAATTGTTTCTGCAGTGAGGAATTTGTAAAAACGGACAAGCCAAAAGTGGACAAGAGCTGCCATGAGCGCTCCAACGATGGCAAAGAGGTGGCGGCGGCAGCGGCGGCCGCGGCAGCCGCGGCGGCAGAGAGAGAGGACGGGGCCGTGGAGCGCGAGGAGGAGGAGGAGGAGGAGAGCGACAAGCTGTTCATCCACGAGCCCAGAGGCCAGGGCGAGGGCGAGGGCAACTCGGTGGACGCCGTCGTCGAGAGCGTCGTGAAGGGGATCGGAATCGGCTCGTCGCCCCTGAAGAGGAAAAGGAGCAGCCGGGGGCCGCCTCCGCCCCTCTTTGATGACCCGTCGCTCCCGGAGGGCTGGGTCAGGAGACTGAAGCAGAGGAAGGCCGGGAGGTCCGCGGGGAAGTACGACGTGTACATATTCAAGTGAGTGCATTCCCGCAGTTTTCTGGTGTTGGGAGTTCACAGGATGCCATTTGATAAGGCCTTGAGACATTAATGTCGAAGTGATTTCCTGTTCAAACGAGCGTTGAGGCGGTGAGCTTCTGCTTACAGCCCTGAGACACTGGTGAACATTCCACATTCCCATGATGACAGGCAGTCTCTTTCATAAGATGACCACTGTTGACTTACCCACAAAGCTGTACTCATTTTAGAAGGGATTATGGGTCAACCGCTCACTGGAATTTGAATTTGTAACCTTATTGCGAGTTGGTTCTACCACGGAGCCATCTGGTCGGTATTTATATGGAGATTTTTTATGTTTTAAGTAAGCTTTTGGTCGTTGAAAACATTTTCAACTTATTTTTTTTGGCTAGCTACCCAAGTTTCACTTAATGTCACTATTTAAGTGCTGTTGCTGTCGCATAAGACTTTGTTTGCTTTTGAAATGAACACCTAATGGGAGTGCGTCCCCTGCCAAGGGTTGCCTAGCGGCCACTCTCGCCAACAATAAAATGAACACGACCAACTACTTGACAGACTTTGTGCAGTCTTGCCAGTGGGAAGCGGCTTGTTTATTGTTCCACCTGCAGTTGGTCGACTTTATTGCCATGGATATTGTGGCTTTAAAATACAACCTTGCGTGCGATGTCTAACCTCTCGTTGGCAGCCCCCAAGGGAAGCAATTTCGCTCCCACGCCGAGCTGAGGAGTTACTTTGGCAAGACGGGAGAGGTGGTGCTCAAGCCGGAGGACTTTGACTTCACGGTGGCAGGGCGAGGAAGCTCGGACGGCCGTGGTAACCGGTCTCCACGACTTCCACGGCTTCCCAAAACGGCCTCCGGCACTTTGGGTTTCGGGCGGGGGAGAGGAAGGGGCAGGGGCCGGGGCCGAGGGCGGGGCCGTGGCAGGGGGACCACCCTGGCGGTGCTCCGCACCATCGGCAGGGGACGCGGGTCCCCCGGCAGACCCCGGAACGACCAGCAAGCCAGCCCCCTCGTTCAGAGCATCGTGGTGAAGCTGCCCTTCGCCCTGGCGGGGGCGGCGGCGGCGGCGGCGGCGGCAGCAACGGGCGGGTCCGCCGTGAGCGTGCCGGTTAAACGAAAGCGCGGACGACCCAAGTTAAACAAAGACCCGCTGCTGAAATCGGTCCCCCCGCCAAAGAAGCCGAGGCTAGAAACTGTTACGCCCGCAGTCGGCAAGCAACGCGAGGATGGGAAGCCGTCGTCATCTTCCACAGAGGTTTCTTCCAGAAATGTCGCCGCAGCCGCCGCCGCCGCCACCACCCCCCCTGCCGCTCAGGAGCCCACGGTGGGCAGCTCCCCAGAGGCGCAGCCGCAAGCGAGTCAGCCAGACCTGGGCGCGCCGCCCAAGGTCAACCTCAAGTTCTACAAGCAGAGGTCCAAGAATAACGTGACGGAGAAGCCCAAGAAGAAGGAAGAGCCGAAGCAGCCAAAGGTACTGTCCATTTCCATCAAGGTGGACGATGGCGCCCAGAAGCCTGCGGAGGAGGGCAAGCTGAAGGAGTGCGCCGCGACCGCCGCCAAGGAGCAGCCCACGGAGTCTGCGGTCGCCGTGCCAGACAGCAGCTCGTCGCCCTCGCAGCCGGACCAGGCCAAGGCTGCCGAGGCCAAGAACGCCCAGGATGGAAACTGAGGGCAGTGTCGGCCGAGGAGGCCGGCTCGGTGCCCGCGGTGGACGCTCGTGTGTGTGACGGGGGGTCGGGGGGAGGGTGGGAGGATCTTTTGGCATTCTCGCTTTCTATAAACCGTAGGGCTTGACCTGACACACGTTTTCCTAGCTTTCCCAGAAGTTAGGTTGCTAGTGATCAGTCTTTTACTTAACGTTGTACAGTGTTTGACAAAACACTTCTTTTGTTAACACTTTGAATGTATTGCATCGAAAGTATTTTCAACTTTATTTGCAAAGTCATTTCTATTGTTAGGATATGATTGTTTTTCTGTATGTTTTGGACCATACGATTATCCTTAACATCACGACCCAAAAACACATATCTGCACCGAAAGCTATCCATCCATGACCTACATGCAATAGATATTTCCTGAGATTTGTATGTGTACCTTGTGGGTATCTCTCTCCTGACCTGTAATACACATTTACGTGCCGGTGATTTCGAATTCTTCCATTTGACTCATGCACCAGTGAAGTTGTCAACCCGAGATGTTTTTAGTGTCCACCTATTTAACCAGTCTTTCTGATTAACTGCTTGCAGATATATCTACAAGTGTATTCTGCAGTAATGTTTAAAAACTACGTCCCGACATTTTCTATGTTTAGCTTTGTTTATAAGATTTCTGCACAGTACAAAGCTTTGCAATAACGTATACAGTAATAGGTAACTAGTATCTCATTTATTGTATCTCATTTATCCGTAGTCTTTTATTGGCCAGTGTCGAACGCTGTGCATATCGAGGCCTTTATGCAGTAGTTATTTATTTGCAAAAAAAAAGTTAACCAGATATTCTGGTGGGAAGAACATGAAGGATTTATAAAGCCGCGTTTTTGCTACAAAAAATGTAATCCAACACGAGCGGTTTCCTGCTTTTTATTTTGCGATGTTTACGTAAACAGAGGAAAGCATAAACTGACGGCCCCTTGCCTATCCTACCAGTAGTAAAACCTATTCTTATACGTAACGCACTTACTGTATACGTAATGTATATTAAATGTTTGCACTGTCCGGGGTTTCTAAAAAACGAATGCTCGATGAGTGACTTTTTTCTGACGATCGTGAAAGTTGCGTGGACGAGTCTGTTGTAAACACAGTGTGGGTGACGTGCGGCAGGCTTGTTTTCATAATCACGGTCGTCTATTTGTAGCACGGGACCCAGCTGAGCTTTGCAGCCTCTCCCTGAACGTGTGATCAATATAATGTTTTGTTGTCCGTGGTGTCTGCGTCACCCGTTATTCAGGACACGCTACAGGCCAATACACACGGCAGCGTTCAAAATGACGATGTACACACGCGCAGCAGAGCACCACCGCTTGTGATATTCTCATGGCAGCCTTCAGGCCACCCCGAGGACAAGACGGCCCCCCCCTAATAGACTGTTGTCATTGCAAGCCGCTAAGACGAGTGGCTGAGGACTGCGGTGAGGATGGACGCGCCACTCGCCTCGTGTGCCTTCAGCGAGGCCTCTGCCGAGTGGCTGAGCTTCGCTGAGGGAGCCAGCTCCGAGCTCATACCCGTCAACCCATGCAGCTTACCCCGTATTCTTGTACAGGGAAATTGAGTTTTCAGGTCTATACGGCGTACAGCCGTTTCAATTCGGGCAAAAACACATTTTTGTCTGTTTCTCCCTTGTGACGGGACTTTGTAGGATGAAGGGCACGGGGTGACCAATAAGGTCTGATTTGGTCTGTACCGATTTGGCGTTCACAGGTTTGGTCTGCACCGATTTGGCGTTCACAGGTTTGCAAGCTGCACCAGTCTTGAGATGCACGCACCGAATCACTCTTCTTTTAAGTTTGCATAATAACTGTGCCTTTGAATAATATCCAATGACTGCTCTTCCGTGTCACTAATTGTCCAATATTGGAAGCCTTTCCTGCAGCTATTAATGAAACAAAGAAATTCCAGTTGTCATGAGTTTATCATCCCAGGTGAGTGGCGAGGTGTTAACTACCTCACCAGGTATACAGGAGGTTGTGAGTTCAATCTTGCGCGTGTCTCCACGTGGCTGTGTGGATTTCTCTCCGGGTCCAGTTTTTCCCTCCACAGAATCAACATGCGTTTAAGAGTATTTGTAATACTATAACTTTCCATGTGATAAGCCACTTTGTTGAGCTATTATTTGTGTCCAGGCCACTTCTGAAAAAGAGCATTAGAGCTCCGTGGTAGGCATCACCCGGTAAAATATAGTTTAACTGTTGAGAACATTTTAATTTAAAGCTTTCGTGACTGCAGGGATTCATATTCTTGATTCTATCGGTAAAGTCACATAGAAGGGAAACAATAAAATAGTTTTATATTTTTATTATTTTATTGTTTCCCTTCGACGTGACTTTACCGAAAGAACCAATATGTTGAGAACATTTTTACAGATGACTGCCACGGCTTGCATTCCATTCTTCCAGCTCTGATCTTTACACGAGACAATTTTATTGACCTCAATGTTATTCATCGGGGCGGTAGGGTGGCCGCAGAGGTAGCGCTCGTGCCTCCTTGTCCACAACGCTCCAGGTTCGATTCCCAACTTGGGCACCTTTGTATTTTCTCTCCCTGTTGTGCACCCATTCCCTCCACGTTCTCTTCAATGTCTTCCCACAACGCAACTGGTGATGGCCACATCCAAACGGTGACAAATGACCTGCAGGTTACTCATTTGGGTTAACTGGCGCCCCTTACTGCAAACACCTGGCAGGACCCCCCCCCTTCGAGGCATTTCTGGGTAATCTCCATATATATATGAAAGGCAAAGTTGTGATTGTGTGTCTGCTCAAAATGTTTAGCGTACTTCCTGACATGCAACAAACTGGAAATTTACCATGTGGGTACTTTCCAGACTGTACACTTTTTGGGGGGGGAGCTCAATAATGCATCTATTTTTTGCACGGCAAGTGAGCTGACGTGAAATCTGTCACGTGACCCGCGCATGTGGAAGCGTAACGCATTGTAGTGTAGTGGTTAGCGCGCTGCGCTTCGAACCTGGCGACCCGAATTCGACTCTCGCTCATGGCCACCACTGGTAAAGATTCTTTCAACCGCTCCTGGGCCTCCCCTAGGTCGACTCAGCCTCAAACGAGTAACTGGTGTGTGAACATCGCCACTGGGGAGACAAAGGCATGGTGGATCCAAGTCCCGGGCGAAGCCGGGTAGTACAGCTAGTCGAGCATAATAAGTAATGCATTCCACTACTCACATCCACATGTTTATGTATAAACATAAATTAAAAACCAAATCGTAGGAATGTTTAACCATGAAAAAAGGTAAATGTGTACTGCATGAACAATGGTGAAAGCACACCCTGTTTCATGGGACATGTTCAAATATTGACTGTCTTATAACAAATAAAGAATGACTCTTGAAGCTCAAAGTGCAATGCAAGTTACAGCTCTCAATTCCTACGACCTACAATACACGAGGCTGCTCTGGGAGCAGAAGGCTGACCACCTTCCAGACGTGGCACTGCGATGTGGAACAAACGTACACCCAAGTCAGGACAACCACAGACCCTCTCATCGGGACCTGAAATAGACGGGATGAACGCAAACCAACAATCTGCACATTTATTTAAGTACATAGGCGCATGTACATCAGACAACTATCGTCGACCAAAAGGATTTCTTTTAAAAATGTATTTTGCAAGTGGCGTGCGCATAAACACTAAACATTATAAAAGGCAGTATTTACAAAATTGCCACATCAATGTATTAACGAGGGGGTCCAAATCGCAAAAAAACTTCCAACTAAAAAAAAAGACAGCCAACAATAAGAGTTGTGTTTGTAGCAGTGTGGCAAAAGTACAGTAGTGTATATTGGCTGACAGGTGGCCTTAGGATGACGCTTAAAAAGGGTTGACCTCTCACTCGCACTCCCTGCTCGCAAAGCCGCCTGGAGCCGTGCCAAGCTGTGCAGCGGCTCGTGCAGCGGCTCGTGCAGCGGCTCGTGCAGCGGCTCGTGCAGCGGCTCGTGCAGCGGCTCGTGCAGCGCATGCAGGCTGCTCCGGGTGGTGCAGAGCATGGCTACTCGGGGACCTTCCAGTCACGCTTGCGTCCCTCTTCGTACAGCTGCTTGAGCGTCTTGCGGAAGCCGTCCATGTCGTGACCGTTGTTACTGAGCGCCAGGTACTTCCTGTAGAGCTGCAGTGCGGTGTTGGCGTCCTCAATGCTGTCGTGCGTCTCTGCCTGGATGTGCAGCTCTGCCAGGGCACAGGGAGGGGGGGATGCCGATTATTTAGCGAACGCTTCGACACTTGACTTGTGTGCGGAGCACCGGATACACAAGAAACATAGATAATTACATTTATACATATGTATGCCAATGTTATGCGAGTGACGTCAGCCCCCCCCCCCCCCCCCCCACATAGCCACAGGGCCATGACAGCCTCCTCCTCCAGCACGTGCAGGGCAACGGCACGTCGGGATCCCGATTACCTCTGGCCAAAGCACATGGCTCAACATGACAACAACAAACCAAATCTTCCAGGCCACCATTCTCCAATGTTTTTTCCAGATTTTACCACGTGTTGTTTGGACAACAGTACAACTGCAAAGAAACTAAGCGGAAACCTCGAGTCATCATTTCAACATTAACAGAAACTTCATTGACACAATTTTCTCTGTTTACCTGATATGCGAGGATAGTGTACGTCCATAATACAGGTTTTTGGGGGTTAGATCGCAGAAATATAAATGTGTCGTTAAACCCGCCACAGCCAACTAGTAAGGTTTGTCATGTAAACAGAACGTGCCAATTTGTTACCAGTACAGCACACTGGTGTGTTGGAGAGCAAATCCACAACATTTACAATGTATGTGCTTTGCTGTTAGTGATTAGTGCGGAGGTTTTTTTTTGGTCTTGTTACATCCTGGAAAATGCTGAATGAGTTTAACATTTTCCTCTGGCCACTTAAGACTGATGACTAAACACCCCCGTGTAATGCTGGCGCATCAGCATTATCAATGTCACCTTAAATGCGGCTATTTGCTGCACAAAGCAACAGTAATTTGTAAATGCGTCATATGTAGTTACGTACCAAGGAAATGCCAGGCCAAGAACCTCAAAGAAATCATTCTCTTCCTGGGTATGTGGAAGAGGATGACCGTGTCGATGACTTGTTCCTTTGGGACCTAACCAGTGCAACACACGGAGTGAATCTGAAAGTCAACTGGAGAGCACAAAACCCATTCGAAGGTTCAGCATCCATTTGAGTTCACAGTTTTTTGTTACAATTCAACTTCAGTTCGTGCAGAAACGTCAACTACTTTACATAAGTACAATATAAATTAAGTTGTCAACACGTAGAATGTATCTAAAAAAACACGTATTCACCGAATAGCGAATGTCGAATAATTGACTGTACTGGGGTGGAGTTTTTATTTTTTTATAAAATCGTTGGTGAAGTGCATTGCACATCCACGTACAAAAACGTGCACAGCCACCGAAACCCGCCAACGCGTTCCTCACACGACCCTACCATGAGGTTGATGACACGGAAGTCCTTGCGCAGCCCGTGCCCAACAAACTTGACTCCATTGTCGATGAGGAAGCGCAGCTTGAGGTATGTGGACTTGAGGGTGGTCAGGTGCTTGGATGAGACCTTAGCATCCAAGTCTCCTGGTTTGATGCCCGAAAACTGGGTCAAGTAGTCCACGACCTACGTGGGATGATTCAGCGAGTTTATCACGGGTGTTGTGCAGGCAGATCTTTAACAGATGCGGTGAGGTTAGTGAGGGTGTTTACCTGCTCCTGAGTAGAGATGTAGTCGTCGATGAAGGGAATGCCCTCGTGGGCGCCCTGCCCGCGCACGCACGTGATCCTTGCCACCGACATCTGGCTGGGTTTGATGGTCGACTTTGTTCCATCGCTCCTAAGCTCCGCTTCTTCCTGCAAGATGTAGCGCATGTGAGCACTCCACAGGCTGATCCCTCCTCACTCATGCGGGGATGAAGATGAATTTCTCTTTTCCCGATCATAATACAAATCTTTCACCCAGCAGAGGCATTCTGTGTCCTGCTGGAAGATGTCCCATTTATATGCGACATATCTGGAAGGTATCACAATTCACCCCGCCCGTGCCTCGCTTCACGGATTAATTCTCCTGTCTCACCGATATTATCCATGTCGTTTGCATTATCTGCCTTGCTTGTTCTGTCCCGATCGCTCAATTGTCTGTGTGTATATCATCTTCATCTACCGCGAAATATACTTACACGTATGATTTGATGCGTGTATCGTTGACTTTAATTTAATCTATTAATTATTAACACGTTTACTGTCTGGGTGAGAGCGGGGCAAAGTGCATCTACGGCAGGAGTACATGCTTAACAGGGCGTGCCGTGTACCGGGTGTAATGCACACGCTGTACGCAAATCCCGTACCTGATTGAGTGTGACAAACTCTGCGTCGAGGCCGACCAGGTCCCCCTTGTGCGGCAGCTCCGAGATCTGCAGTGGCATGAAGGTGGCGTTGCGCTTGCGCTGCTTCCTGGCCAGAGACGCCTCCGCCAGCAGCACACTTGGCTCGATCGGATTCTTGACTGGGGGCCAAGAGGTACGGCCGTGTCACGTGACCGAGCGCCACCATCACTGCACTACTAGAAAACTATTAAACTATTTATACCGTACCAGGTTAGGCCAACTGAGCTATGTAGCTCTTTTTCATAAGGGATCTGGCTATCACAAATGATTGCTCAACCAAGTGGCTTATAGCGTGGAAACTTATAGCAGCCAAGTAATCTTAAACGCGTGTTTCTAAATGTGGTGGGAAAAACCGGAGGACCCGGACTAAAATCCACATGATCACGGGGTGAACATGCAAGTGCAGGCGCCAGGGTCGGGATTGAACCCACGACCTCCTGTATACCAGGTGAGGGAGCAAACGTCTCACCAATGCCGGAGACAGCTGGCATCAAGAAGGGCTATGCAAGCTCCCTGGTTCTCACATAGCCACTCGCCGAATCTCTCACTGATATTCACTCACTTGATACATTGTACTTGGAGTTGAGGTCTTGCCGCACAAAGTACAACACGCACGGGATCTTCCAGCTCACGTCAAACTGCACGGCTTCAAACTGGTGGGCAGAGACTTTCATGTTTGAGGTAGAAACAATACAAATGCGAACGTACGTAATTGTTTTGTACGATGATTTGGTTTTAATTTATATTTTTACATGTTATATTTAGTTTATTAACACTTGCTGCTGTATCTGTCTGAGCCGGCCGAGTCACCCTTAAAAATAGAAGAGCTGTTGTAGCTCAACAGGTAATTTACTCGGATAATAAACTTCTGAAGCTCATTCAAAAAATCGAAGTGATTTCCTGCTCAATTGAGCACTGAGGTGGTGCTCATCTCCTTTTTACAGCCCTGAGCCACCTATTTTATGGGGGGGGGGGGGGGGGCGGACAAGTCGTTCCATAGGACAAACCGGACTTCCCTACAAGGTGATACTAATTTTATCGACCCCAGAGAGCCGATGGCCTGCGTTAACCCCCACTCAGGAAATGAAACTCCATAACTCTCGGATTGCGAGCCGCTCGCTCGACCGCCGAGCCACCAGGCAACGGGTCTTGCAAGAGCGGACGCCCACTTTCGCTCGTTCACATCAGAGCTTGCTCGGAATACGCAAGCCGCAGTTCTTCGTGCAACACGCACTCTGTAGGCTTATGAGGCTTTTTTTTCCCAATTGCTTGTTGAATTATATTTCGATTAACACTCTGCTACAATTACAAGCTGCGTTTTAGTCATGGTTTAAAAGTACAGTGCTATATATATGGAAATGTATTTAGAAACTCTAAAATCAGCTTTCAGTGCGTCAGTGCAAGGAAGTATGCAGATGCATTATCCTACAGTGGAAATAAGCTACAGTTCAGAAAATCAGTGTGACCTGGAGCCAGGGGTTGCTCACACATGTGCACAGGACAGCCATAAACAAAGCTACACACTGGGAGCATAATTTGTTCTTAAACACAAATGCTTCAAAGTGTCTGCAATAATATTAAAATGAGGTCACTTACTTTATCAATAGGTTCAATGAGAAAGTCGTTAAACAGATACCACTGGAAGTGT